AAAACAACAGGCAGACTGTCAGCTGATATAGCACTGCTGTATATTAAGACAGTTGAAAATACTATTTTTTAGTAAAAATGACAAAAATATTCATAAAATTAAACTTATCGTCACGAAAAGAACAAATCTGACTAAGGTCCACTCAAGGTAACTACATATAAAATATCACAATAATCAGGCTAGTAGTTTCCACATCCTGACTCACCACATCCACCCATCTTTACAACCACATTTTGACTCACCACATCCACCCACCTTAACAATCACATCCTGACTCACTACATCAAACCCACCTTTACAACCACATCCTGACTCACTACATCAACCCACCTTCACAATCACATCCTGACTCACCACATCCACCCACTTTTACAATCACATCCTGACTCACCACATCCACCCACCTTTACAACCACATCCTGACTCACCACATCCACCCACTTTTACAATCACATCCTGACTCACATCAACCCGCCTTTACAACCACATCTTGACTCATCACATCCCCCCCAACCTTTACAACTACATCCTGACTCACCACATCAACCAACCTTTACAACCACATATAGACTCACCACATCAACCCACCTTTACAACCACATCCTGACTCACTACATCAACCCACCTTCACAATCACAACCTGACTCACCACATCCACCCAGTGCATCTCCAATAAAATCATATTATGTAAATCCCTAATAACATTATTTCGTTGCACACTGTATCATTACAAAATTTGTTATTTTAACCATAGAAACACATCAAAAGTGTAATTTACGTAAAAATATACACTACTGATAAAAACAAATATGGTAGTTGTTCACTACATACATGTAGATGGAAATACATGAAATCCAAAAAATACAACATTTATGAAATTATTGTGGTTAATTTTAATCTCACTTGCATAAACAAATCTTTTGACCCCCCCCCCCAAAAAAATAGGTTAGTAGGGGCATTGGAAATACAAAATTTATTTATTTTGACCTCAGTATACCACATCCTGACATTTCTATAAATACACATGGTACGGATGTTTACTTTAAATAAACAAGCAACATAAATCCTAAAAGAAGTCAAGTAGATTTAGTCATGAATATTCAACATCTAATGAATACTAGAACTAATAATTATTGTGACCAAAAGTTGACTTCCTAACCCTAAAGAAAACTGCGTCACACCAAGGGTGCCCTCTAACAGAACTGATTTTGTAGGAATTCTGAGTCAAAATGAAATGTACCGCTGCAGAGGATAGACAAATATAAAATTGTATGTGACTGTGTAGGTTAATTGACTTGAGGCACAAACAAAAAAGTTGCTTTTTAATTATTTTGTTTATAAATCTTAATTTTGTGCTACCAAATTACAATTGAATTCTATAACTGTAGTTTTTCAAAAAATTCATATTATAATTTTCTATTGAAATAGCGCAACAAGTTGCATCACAGCAAAGCTTTTTGCGTCAGTGGCTTGTCATATCAGCTTTGAGCGGCACACTGTATCTCACTCCATATCAGTGGCAACAATATGACCATACTTATAGTCAATTATATTACAATTATATTAATTAATTTCACCAGAGATTACTTGTCAATGATCAACTGCCTAATTATACCAAATCCTGTTTCTAGCCATGTCAATAATGTTTCCAAAATAGTATATTCATTGGGTTAGTATATTTTAACACTAGGTACACACAGTTCATTGACACAAACATGCTGACCAAAGTCGACTGTACATATAAATGATGACCACAGTTTCACCCTTCATATAAATGCTGACCTTTGACCCTACTACAGTTCATAATTAAAAAAATGCTGTAAAGTGGTAGTTTTCACAGCTAAAATTGCTCACTATTTCATAATTTTCATAATTAATGACCTCTGTGACAACTTCATATACGATAACTCATCTTTAAAAAACAATACAATAAATCTAGAAAAAGCATTACTGGTCAAGCAGACATGGTTAGACTGAACAAGCAGCCTGGTGCATACTAGACTGGTCAAGCATATCGGTTTAACCAACTGGTCCAGACTGAAAATGCAGATATTTGTATACTGGACAACTATACTGGTCTAGACTGGTTCAGCAGACAGGGCTATACTGGACACGAAGACTGGTTAAGCAGATTGCTATAGAATGGCCAAGCAGACTTGTGTAGACTTGACAAGCCGACTGGTTTAAATGACTGGTCTGGATTGGAAAAGCAGACTGGACAAGTTTACTGCTTTGGCAATCTGGTCAAACAAAAGGACTTGACAAGCAGACTTGTCACTGGACAAGCAAACTGCACAAGCAGACTGGACAAGCAAACTGCACAAGCAGACTGGACAAGCAGACTGGTCAAGCAGACTGGTCAAGCAGACTGAAACAGATGGGACAGCAGACTGGTCAAGCAGACTGGTCAAATAGTCTAACAAAACTACATGAATGAAGAACGGGGTTCTCCTAGAAAATTATTGAGTAGTAATTTGGATTACTAATTCAGTCAAATTAGCAGTGAACACTGAGTCAATCTAAAATGTGCTTAAAACGTAAAGTTGGATAACGTTTTGAGTGTGAACCATGCATGTATATGTCTTATCTGTTGATAAGTATATAGTTGTCAGATGAGGAGATAAAGGCTGTAAAAAACAGACTAGCGACACCTATTATTTAAGGTGTTAACAGAAGATTGTTGGATATATACTCTTTACTACAGAAATTGGAAACCAGGTGCCAAACACAAGGCAGAAATCATCAAACTTGATAGAAATCTTACAACTTAGATCATTGGTTTGCATGAATTACTTTGAATTCTGCCAATGTTTGTGCTTTGCATGTATGGACATACATTTTTTAAATAATTTAAAAAACCAGTGAAGTAATGAATCTTGATTTTAACTCTATCAAACATTTAAGAACATTATGTATGAAGACTGGCACCAGGTGTTTGTCTTTAGGTTGACAGTGTTCAAACAAGTGTACCAATATAGTACTGTGCAGTGTACAACATCCTGTGTACATCTAACATCATAATTCATTTGTCTGAGCTTATCACATAGAGGTTGTTTTTTAGTGGTCTGAGTAGACAGCAAATAAAGTCATGATATACAATCCTGCTATGTATCATGCCTTGCCACATAACATACATTACATGCAACCACCACAACTATAGAACATTCAGATCTGTAGCTAAAATTGTCTCATCAGATTTCAGGGGTTTTTCTAGAAAAAAACTGCAAGAGCGAGCACTGCAATTCAGCGGCGCCACCAAGTGGGGGAGATAGGGTTCTCCCTACCAGGGTGTGGCTTCCTTGGTGCCAAAATTACTATCAGACAGTTCACAGTTGAAAACTGTGGCCACATGTGATCCCTGGTCAATCAGGATTTTATGGTTGCCAGAGGATCTGCTCCCCAGGGTAAGGGGGAGCATGGCCATGAGGGCGCTGTGCCCTTGTTCCCTTGTTTGAAAAAAAACCCTGAGATTTCAACTAACAAAATTTAATAAACGACAATTAATCAATTTTTATAACATCTGTTGAATATTGACAAATTAATTAAATTTAAAAAAATTTAATTAAATATAATTCAGTCAGGTAAAAACTGTTCATTACAACATTAGATAAGACAGACTCACTAAACTCAGATACCTTGTAGAAATACCTATAAGTAGCAATACAGCATTAACAATAAATATTAATAAAAAAAAAATAAGAAATAGGTAACCATAACTACACAGCAAACACTCACACTGAGCTCCAAACAATCCAAACTGAAGCATGTAATTGCTAAACAACAACCTATTGCAGAACAATGGCAATAATCACAGCAACCACAAACAATGGTAATCACACTGCCAACATTTATCATACTTAAAAAAACACATTTATAGAGTCACCAAGTCTGTTATCCTTTTCACCACCAGACTTTCTCGCCCACATTTTTTCTGTACTTTTTTTCTTATATTCTTCAAAATTTGGGAAATGAAAATAATTTTGTGTCCAACAGACAAAATTTGAGTTCAGTTTTTACTTAAAAAAATATGGCAATGTTTATCCCAATCTTCTGAAGAAAAGTGTAGAATTTGTGATGAAAAAAGTGAACTGGTTGTGAAAAGGTTAATACACACAGAAAGGCACCATACAACAGCTATGTTCATATTTGAAATACTAGATCAGATTTTGTTCACAATGTTTTCCCTATGTATAGATTACCTATGTAGAAGAATGCAAAGTAAATTTAAGAAAACTAAAATAAGATCATGTGATTAAAAACATAGCAATTCATTAATTTAATAACACCTTCAAGTATGAACTCGCTAATTAAAGTTAAGTAGTTTCTATGGCAACCATGCATTGGAGAGGAAGGTGTGTCATTATGTCATCATCACCTTTCCATGTAAGTTGACTAACCTAAAACATCAAACAATCATGGGAACAGCACACATTAACTGATGGTTGCTAAGCAACAAATCAGAGTCCAATGGACTACAGACTGCTGCTGCTCACTGCTTATTGATCTTAAATCAATGTACAACATTGAAAACTGTCCTTGTTTTGAGGAAGCATTGGCGCATGAAATAACTTAACATGGTCGGTATGGGGAGTCACTGAGCTGAACTACTGCATCACATTTACAATGTTGCACACTCACCCAAGATTTCCGAACAGCCATGATGTAACATATATATAAACAACAGCATGCTATAATCTTTTTTTTTCAGTTAAAAACAACACCCAAGCTAAAAAATAAATCAACAACACTCCGAGCAACAGGATTGTAAATTAATCAATCAAGCCATAACAAACATTCTCATATCAACACTTGGTGGCAGTGTTTAGGAAAGAATCACAAAGTTACTCAATGTTTAACAGAATTTCAACATGTGTAAACAATGCATCACTATGTCTGAAATAACTACAAGGTCAGACAAAAAAAAAATTTATCAATGCACCGAGCCTCGGTTGGCAAATTGAATAAACCTGCAAAATCTGCACACCATCACAACATACATAGATATACAAATATATACTGCAATAGGATGCAAATAGATATACTGGTATACACTGCGATAGAATGCAAATAGATATACTGGTATACACTGCGATAGAATGCAAATAGATATACTGGTATACACTGCGATAGAATGCAAATAGATATACTGGTATATACTGCAATAGAATGCAAATAGATATACAAGTATATACTGCAATAGAATGCAAATAGATATACTGGTATATACTGCAATAGAATGCAAATAGATATACTGGTATATACTGGTATATACTGCAATATAATGCAAATAGAAGATATACTGGTATATACTGCAATAGAATGCAAATAGATATACTGGTATACACTGCAATAGAATGCAAATAGATATACTGGTATATACTGCAATAGAATGTAAATAGATATACTGGTATATACTGCAATAGAATGCAAATAGATATACTGGTATATACTGCAATAGAATGCAAATAGAAGATATACTGGTATATACTGCGATAGAATGCAAATAGATATACTGGTATACACTACAATAGAATGCAAATAGATATACTGGTATATACTGCAATAGAATGTAAATAGATATACTGGTATATACTGCGATAAGAATTCGAATAGATATACTGGTATATACTGCAATATAATACAAATAGATATACAAGTATACACCGTAATAAGAATACAAATAGATATACAAGTATACACTGGAATAGAATGCAAATAGATATACTGGTATATACTGCAATAAGAACACAAATAAGATATACTGGTATATACTGCAATAGAATGCAAATAAGATATACTGGTATATACTGCAATAAGAATGCAAATAGATATACTGGTATATACTGCAATAGAATGCAAATAGATATACAAGTATACACTGCAATAGAATGCAAATAGATATACTGGTATATACTGCAATAGAATGCAAATAGATATACTGGTATATACTGCAATAGAATGCAAATAGATATACTGGTATATAGTGCAATAGAATGCAAATAGATATACTGGTATATACTGCAATATAACA